CATTCACTCTCTCACTCACACCTAGGGACAATTTAGAGTTACCAATCAGCCTAACATGCATGTTTTTGGTCTGTGGGAGGAAACCGGAGCACCCGGAGAAAACCCACGCATGCACGGAGAGAACATGCAAACTCCACCCAGAAAGGCCCCTGGACCGGGGTTTGAACCAGGGACCTTCTCACTGAGAGGCAGCAGCTCTACCAGTTGCGCCACCGTGCTGCCACTCCATGTTTTAATGAGTTTAAAAGTTTGTTCCAAGTTATAGAGCAACGAGCTAATCTCCAACTCAAAACGCAACTTAGAGCAGAAGGTTGAGTTGCTTTGCATTTCCAACTTCATTCATGACCTCTTGTTTTCATTTTTATTTGTCCAGGTTTGACTTGGCAGGACGACATTACTCAGCAGGTCATCTCCAGAGAGCTCTCCAAACTGAGAAGTATCCCCCTCCGCCAGCAGAACTCACCTCCGAGCCGCCTGGCGACATACGGCAGCTCTAAAACCAGAAAACCAAAGCCCGCGCAGGCTGAGCTGAGCACGAACTTTCAGCAGTATCTGGAGGGACTGGGCTTTTTGCCGCAGACTGAGCTACAACATACAGGCGACCAGCGAGATGGAGGCAAGACCCAGGTAAGACTCCAATACTGTGCAAAAGCAGCTGATAATATATAGAAAGAATGACTTGTGGTATAAGACAGGGTTGTCATCAAAACACTTTTAGAAACAGTTTTTTTTTAACATATGAGATCATTTAAAAACATCAAGTTTGAAACATTATGTCATAGTACTGCTACTAAAGGTGTTTCTATAAACTATGAAATCATGAGTTTGTGCTTATCTTTTTACACACAGCTTCTGATTTTTGACTTATCTATTACTAAACAAATAATGATGGTGTAATATATTATGTTAATTTGTTATAAGGTTACCTCATTTTAACAACCTGATAATAGTAAAAATGCTTACATTATTAGCACCCTATAGGATTAACTTTTAGCTATATCTGTAGTTTATGTAGAAAAAAATCATAGGTTAAAAACAAAACAACTTGTTTATGGATATTTATATTGATGGAAAAATTTGAAGTGATGAAACAAACAGGTTATAATTATCGGAATTAAGGCTAATCAAATGTCAAGCCTCACATTGCACGCCTAGAAAACTTTCAAACTTTGAATAAATTTTGTGACTGGTCCCAGGTTTATTGTACAATACTACATATAAACAATAATCCATTCGCCAACTTTTTAAAGTTTATCAAGGGTAAAACAGTTTCAAATATTCAAATGTAAGTTTAGAGATTAAAATATATTTTTAAATAAAAATTAAGACCATAAAAACTAGCTTTA